TCCCCGCACGCTGCACGCAAACAACACCCCCACCAACACTCATCGGAAACAGTTTTCCCAGCCAGTAAAAATATACACCTCGTCCTCCACTCACCGGGCCGCTGCTGCGCTGCGCTGGCGGTAGTGTTGTGCTGCGTATCCGCCGCAGCAAACCGCAGCCCAACAAACTCCTCCCCCGCCGGGAACCCACAAAACAATAAAAAAAGGAGGCGCCCAAGAGCAGAGCGTCTTCGGCCGCCGCTCCCGCGCAACTCCCCGCACGTTGCGTCCGTCCACCCTCTCAGCCTGAAGGCTCCTGCGGTGCCCACATCGCTAAGCCCCTCCCCGGGACGCGACGCCGGGACCGCCCGCAACACGCAGCGCCTTGCACGCCGTCCCGTTGGCGGCCGCAGCCCCGCGAGCCCCTCCCTCTTTTCTACGCCGTGCCCGCAGAAGGCCCTCCTCCCCCAGCGTGTGCGTGTGTGTGTGAGTGGGTCCGGGGCACGCGGCTTCTGGAGTTTTTCAGGAAGGCGAGCGGCACGCCGTAACCGCGAGAGGCCCTCGCTGGGGCCCAGAACCCCCACACACAAACGTGTCCCCCCCATTCGAGGATCCAAAGAGGCAACACACATTTGCGTGCCGCACGTCCTCCGCACCGCGTGCGCCACACTCCCGCTCAATCTTCACAGCCCTCCGAGACGGATTCCCCGCACCCCACAGTTTCTCCCCTTCCCGCGCACAGTCGTCTTCGGCCACCGGGGAGTCAGTCGCCTGCAGGGCGCCGTCACCCACCGCAGTGCGCCATTGAACGCAGCCGCACTGAAGATGTCACGCGGCAGCGGTCCGGCAAGGTGCATGCGACCCGCAACCGCCTCCCACTACTTCTTATGCTCCTGCGCGGGATGATGGCGCGCGTCCGCCGGGCACACGTCGCCTTCGCCTCCTCCTCGTCGCGGCAGCGCATGGTGGGGGGAGGCAGAGATGCGGTCGCATCGCCAACGCTCTGGAGTTATTTCCCTTTGCGGACACCAACACGCAATCATGCCCCACCTACAAGGCCGTAATTTTACCCACGGCAGCGGTGCTCCTTCCTCTGGCGCATCGTAGACAACACACACCCTCTTGCCCGCCACGACATGTCGCTCACACGCCTTCGGATACCGAGCGCAGCCTCGTGCCCTGTCGCCGTTTGCGTGGCCGTGCCGAACACTTCCGCCAACTCGCCTCCGAGGCAGCAGAGAGCAAAGTGGAGCAGGCATTCATCGCGGTGCAGCGGCCGGCGGAGGGGGTGGGGGCCGGCACTCGTCCACCACCGAGGCCGCCACCCCGGGCGCCCCAACCAAGACTCGCCGCCTCACCTCAAACACTTTTGGTCCTTTGGTGCGAAGTGCCCCGTCCCAATCGCCTTTGGCACTCCGCCACACCCGCCCCCACCGCATAGTGAACGCAGCAGCCGGCAATTTTCCCTCCCTCCCTCAGCGGGCACGGCCAGCCCTCAGCGGCGGCGAGTCCCGTCAGGCCGGGACGCTGCGCACGAAGCTGCTCAACGCTGTCCTGCAGTGGAGGAGTTGTCCCCTGCACCGTGCACGCCCCCGACTGCGTTGGTGGGTGTGTGGCCCCGTTCCACCGCCGTCCGCACCGCCACTTCCCCCTCCCTTCAGCCGCAGGAAACCCCAAGACGTGGCTCCACTTCGCGTTGAGCACAAACTCGCACGCTCCCTCCACCGTGCGGTCAGGGGCTCACTGTGGCCGCGGCGGTGCCTCCTCCGCCCTTCCGCGCTGCGCTGCAAGCTGCCGAGTGCCGCCGGCGGGCCCAACCTCCACCGACGCCGTCCCTGCGGCGCAGTACATGCAGGGCGCCACCGCAGCAGCGCGAACTCCTTCCTCGCGTCTCCCAGGCATTGCTCACATGAGTTCCTTCCCTCGCAGTTGTCGTAGGCTTGCGCTGCGGCTGAACACCCACCACCAGCCAAAAGGAGGACGAGAGGGGGAGAGGCAAACAAAAAAAATGGGCACAGACACACGAGTCCACGCAGCCACATTCATCAGGAGAGAGAAAGAGAGATAGGGCCACCACCCACACGTTGTGGCACACGCACACACATCACACTTCAGCAGTCCGCGCAATGGGCGCAGTCAACCAACAAACACACAAAATAAAATAAACCCGCGAAAGTGAAGCCGAAGCGTGGGGGCGCGTCCACCGAGCAGTGGGGACGCGCAGCAACACGTGGGACGACCAGCACACACACCATCTCTCTCTCTCTGTTCCCACACAGCCCAATCCAGGAAGAGATAGAGAGAAAGAGAAAGCAAAGCTGATGCAAAAAACAAAAAAAAGACCAAT